CAAAGCAAAGATCTGAATGTGTGGAAGTGTATTCGCTGTAAGGCACAGACAGTTCAACGAATGCCAGAGTCTAATCTGAGCCGTGCACACAAACAGGGCTGTCGTTTGTTATGTGCGTTTGGGGAGCGGGGGAGAATGCCGAGCCAAAGGACATTAAGGCGTGGAGCATTAGCCATGCTTGTGCGGGATAACGGGCCGGGATTGAAGAAAACCATCCAGAGCTGAAGTCTTGTTGCCTGGTGACCTAAATATTTACCATACGCTCATGAGAGTTTCTTCTTTTCTGCCAAAATAGCAGTCAAATCACTGCAGCTTACTCATCTGGATACATGACCAACCTTTATTACACTTCAACACGTCCACCCTGTCCTTTGACCAGTCCTTTTTAGTACAGCGCCGGGCTCAAATATATACTATAAATGACTATATATAGAACGGTATAGAGGAGAATATTTTGAAAGATTTCCTAGCATGCAACATTTTCACAAATTGCTGACATTTAAATATCACATTTAATGCTAAAACACTTTCATATTCAAGACAAATATGAATATTAATAATAGGGCTGTCAAACGATTAATCACGATTAATCGCATCCAAAATAAAAGCTTGTGTTTACATAATATATGTGGGTGCACTGTGTATAAATATTTTGTGTATATATATATATAAAAATAAATACACACACATGCATGTATATTTAAGGAAGAAATATTATTTATATATAAAATATTTATGTAATATAAATTATATAAAAATCTATGTACATTATAATATATAAATATATATATATATATATATAAAATAATTATACACAGGTATTATGTAAACAAAAACTTTTATTTTGGATGTGATTAATCGCGATTAATCGTTTGACAGCCCTAATTAAATAAATTTATATTTTGTGCTATTTTGTAAGAATCACCCGCACGCAAAAACTCCTTGGTTTAACAAATAAGATTCTAGTTGGTGAATATAAAAGCATTTCCATTCGGTACCATCGTAATATGGTTTTCTTTTAATATGGTATATTAATATAGTAATCGCATTGCACCATGAAAGGAGGTTGCGAAATTTTTTTCCCTATTGTGACTTACATTCGGAGTGAAAGGGCTTCTCAAACAAGAAAAAATGTAGGGCGGGGCTTGACTTTGTAGATTAGGAAATGATTGGATGGTTGTGGTTTGCTATTGGTTGATCTCATGTGAGTGACAGTTTCCCCCGCCTTGTGCCAGTAAACTCTTCGTCAGAGAAGAAAAGAGATGTTGTTGCAAGTTATTTTGATTAAAGATTATGAGGCTCGTGAATTAAAAAAAAAAAAAAGATGTCCACAGATAAATCAGTTATAATAAATACTGCAATATTCCATTAAAAAATAAGGATAGACCATTTTGACTTTGACAATTCTTATTTCGCAACTTCAGTATCATGCCTAATTTAAAGTCACCATGAAACGGAAGTTGCAATAGGCTAGCCTTTTGTGAGGTATATCCAAGTGAAACAGCTTCTCAAACGGGGCGGGACTTAATTTTGCCGATCAGGAATTATGGTGCGTTCAAGTCCTCCTAAAAGGTTCGTATTTACGAGGTGTGAAGTTGTGTTTATGACGCCGGGTGCGTTCAAGTTACTTTAGTTGGAGTGAGATGGCGGTGTACTACGGGAATTACACAAAAACACAGCAAGGTTACTCTAGTTCTAGAAAATGAAGAACAAAGAAATGTGCATCAGGTGTGTTTTGCTTTTATTTTTTTAATTAATTTGTGAAGCCACTGCAATCTGTATTGTTACATATTAAATTGTTATATTATAATGCCATTATATTTTGTGCAGGCAATTAGCATACTGCGCTGTAAATAGAAAATCCTGACAATATCACAGCTTAAATAGAGTGCCGAAGAGATGACGTCACTTTGTAGGACAATTCGGAAGTTAGCGGCGCATGGGTTCCCTCGACCGAAAAGCTATGCATTTTCCCCATCGACTTTTGGAAAATCGCAAAAAATAAGATCTGTGTTTAACAAAGAGTTGTGACCCTTACACGTTTTGTCTATCAAGATAATATTTACAAGTTAATATATAAAGTTTTAACTATATAAAGTTTAAAAACCACATGCAGGTTATAACTGGTGTGTTTTATGTCATAGATCAAAATTTGTTCATCACAGACCTTATTTCCGGCGATTTAGCAAAAACCCATACAAAAATCCCATAGACTTTAGGACGAGGGAACCGGGGGAATGCTAAAATGCTAACCCACTTCCGTGTTTTGGCCTACAGAGTGACGTCGTAACTTCGGCACTCTAGAGCTGCGTCCGAAATCGAATACTTCCCTAGTATAATATATAGTATAATATAGTGAAAACAGTCCGCGAGCAGAGTAGTATGTCCGAAATCATACAATTCGAAAAACAGTAGGCGAAAAGTACACGGATGACCTACTACTTCCGGCGAGATTCTGAAGTGCGCATACGATGGACACTTTACTACCCCATGATTACACAGGAGAGGAGTTGTTGTCGTTATATTTGAAAATGGCGGAAACCGGAGACGCGGCTGAAACGTTTGGAGATGAACACACACACGCGTATCTCCATTAATTCATTCATGTTTATTTATCGAGGGTAAAATCACAAGCAAATAAATGGCTTTTTCCTTGCCAAAATCAACATCTGTCATTGTTCATAGGGGTTGTGTGTTTTCTGAGGTAAAATATATTAGGTAAACAAACGTTATTTGAGAAATTCCTCAAAAGGCGTGATCTGCGAGCAGCTGACCGACGCCTCCTCTTGATTAGAGCCCGACCGATAAAGGATTTTGAAGGCCGATACCGATACAAATATTTGTTGGTTTTAAATTCCGATATTCCGATATATCCTCCGATGTTTTTTTTTTCCCAGAAACGCGCAACAAAACATTAACAGATTTCGCTAACATTAGTTATTTGTAGTTATTTATGAGTTTTAACAAAAATAATATATTAATGCATTTTAAAAAGAAACTTGTTTCTTTTATTGTCACAACAGAACAGAGGAACATCAAAATATATTAAAGTTCTGATAAATAAAATAATAATTAGTCCCTACATAGCTACCTGCAACCTGGATCAGCAGTGTATAGTGCCCTCTGGTGGACAAACTATACAACTCCAACAGTCATGACATGGTTGAAGCGTGTTTCGTCCGTTTTTATTTTTAAAATATTAATTTATCGGCCATTATACCGTAACTGCCGATACCGATTGTTTGGAAAATGCCTAAAATCGGCCGATAATATCGGCCTGCCGATAAATCGGTCTGGCTCTACTCTTGATTGTCTGCTCAGACGACGTAAAAACGCAGATGAAAACAGAACTAAAAACAGAGCGAAGTTGGTGCAGTCACTGGAATGGGCTCTTTAAATTTTCGCACTGTTGTGACAGTGTATGTCACACGACAACAACATGGCGACCCGCATTCATACTATATATGAAGAGTTCAGATGCAAAAGCCTCTAAATGCCATTTGAAATTTTCTTCTTTAATGATGATTTTTATCAAACTTGTATATTTAAGTTCAGTAATTTCACTTAAATAACAATTAATAGGTAATTATCATTGCCATTTAAGTGAAATCACTGAACTTAAATTTACAAGTTTGATAAAAATCATCATTAAAGAAGAAAATTTCAAATGGCATTTAGAGGCTTTTGCATCTGAACTCTTCATATATAACATACTTTTTAACGGTCGTGAAGTACGTTCTTATTTAAATATAGTACTCACATAGTATGCTATTTCGGACGCAGCCTAGGCCTGTATACCTTTAAGTATTGTGGTTTTCCGCCATGTTGTTCCCTGACACGCCCCAAACTCGTAAAGATCGAGAAAATCCCGAGCTTCCCACTCGAATTTACGACATTGTTTGTGTGCGTTCATCTCGTAAATGTACGAACGCAACATGAGTTGCCTCATCGTTTGATTTTGCGTTCATATCATTTGTTGTTTTTTTTTTTTTTTTTTTTTTTACAAAAATACAAGGTGTACATTTAACCCATTTGATTCACTTTGCCTCATAATTTCGTTTCTGTAAACGCGATTTAGGATTGTTCAACAAACTGTGGGTCAAAGGAAATGATTGCCAGTGGAAACAGACAGAGAGCGTTGTGTGTTCAGACAGTTGTGCAGGCCTGATGCTAATGTGCACAGATAGATCTCTCTTTCGGCTAGGTCACTGCTCAACTGTTATATTGATGTCTAGAGCATCTGACAGCAGAAAACCACACCTCAACTCTGCTCTCACACACCAGAAACCATGTTTAATAGCACTGTTCGTTTCCTAAGGTGCTTTTATTTTACATTCTCGGCACCTGAGAGAGATATTTTCAGAATAAAGTGTTAAATGTCGCGCAATGCTTGTGTGCTTCAAAACTACGCAGTCGAACAGCATCAGCACCACGAGGCAGAAGACCTCGGAGACAAAGAACATCACTGCAAACACACCGCAACACTACACGAATCATTAAAAACATGACACGTTTCTCACCGAAACCCATGCACACCAACTCAACCTTTCAAAACATCAGCTTTAAATCATATTGTATTGTATGTTTCTATAGTGTGTGTGTGTGTGTGTGTGTGTGTGTGTGTGTGTGTGTGTGTGTGTAGTCTCAGTCATGGGCGTGATTTTCTTGCTGCAGTGCTCAACCCAACAACATTATTCCTTAATATTCAATATTCGAAAAGGATCATTAAAAAAACAATGCAATATTAGGCTACATACACAACCGCACTGTCATTTACTCCTGAATAATTATTATTTCAGTCACTTTATTGCACTCTGAATATGATTCCTGCCAAAAGACATTTATTAGACACACATCCCAATTCAGTATCAGCTTAACCCACCCATTTTTGACTCGACTGGTGCTTGGCATTTAATCCTGCTACAGCTTTTGTTACAAACGTGAAAATAAAATAAAAAACTTTATGCTTTAAATATATGAATATGAATGAATCAACTTACAGTGATCTTTGGGATATTCTTTTTGCCTTGGTAAGACATGATTAGGTCTCGGTTGATGCAGATGTCTTTATTCTGTTCTTTTCTGATGTTGGTGGTGGCGCACACTGGACTTGATTGTCTGAGCCGGGCTCCTCCCTCATGTCCCGCCGGGTGCAGTGTGTCATTTACACCAGCAGGAGGCGCCAACACCAGCGTTCCACAGCCGAGTCATTTACACGAATCGGTTCTCTCGAACAGCTCGGGTAAGTGAACCGGTTCAAAGGGGGATTCATCTTTTCATTTACGACATTCTCACGAAGAAATAATAACGTCTCCAGGAGATTGAAAGTAATTTGAATCTCTTTGGCCTTAGACCACCTCTTATAATAGGCCTACACTCTTTTTGGATGCTAGTGCCAGGAATAGCCACATTGCAATAGCAACTGAAAAGTTAAAAACACAAAGCGAGGAAGAGATTAAGGTAGTAATAATTACACCCTTTTGATAATAATAATAATTAAATCTTTCGTCACCCGGGAACCCGAACACACAATACCCATACACTGCTTTGAGAACGATAAAAGAACCGACTCTAAAGAGCCATTTATTAATGATTCGGATGATCATTGTCTGCTTGTAAACGCTTGTGTAAAATTAATTAAGTAGTTTTTATGTTTTCTCTCTACCTTGTAAGCAGACTACTAATGACAAGTGATTCCTGACAACTAAGATAAATTAACAAATCTGATTTCCTAACCCCTTTTAAAAATATGTAGGCTACACTTTAGTGTAGTAATAGCTAGCTGCACTTTAAAAGAGTATACTGAAGCATGGATTGAATGTTATGTTTTCAGACACGTAAATGAATATATCTGCAATTTATATTGAATGTAATTAATTAAAAAATGTTAACATATTTTAGTAGGCTATAGGACAAGTACATATTTTTTTCTGTTGTTTTCGAAATATGTCATGTATTTCATTATATTTACTGCAGATACATTTGTAATAATTTATATGTACAACAAGTGCACATTAAATACAATTAGACACACTTATTTTGCAGAAGGGAAGTTATTAAAATAAATCACAGACAATCATATTATACAAACTATAAACTCCCCGTGAACTGCTAAGGCGAGTAAGCTTGCTTTACTGGCTTCAAGATTGAATGGTGTTTCAGTGCACAGAGAGAGAATGATATATTTATCAGTTATGATAGTGTATCTTCACCAATGAGCAAAGTAAGACTCACAAGAGAGGAGAAGAGAAGAGAAGAGAAGAGAAGAGACGAACAGCTGCTGATCAGGAGCCCCACCCTGACATGAGGCTCTTTTGTCTGAGCAGAACCAACTGCACCCCCCCCCCCCCCCCCACACACACACACACACACCCTCACTCACATACACACACACACAAATACACACACAAACACCCTCATATACACTCACCCTCACACACAGACACACCCACCCCCTCACACACAAACTCTCACACCCACCCCCTTTCTCTCTCTCTCTCTCTCTCTCACACACACACACACACACACACACACACACACACTCACACACCCCCACCCCAGCCCCTTACACACACACACTGAATTTGTCTCATGTCACACAGATCAGTCACTATATGACAAGTGTATTAGATCACGTGACACAGTGATATCGCCACTCAGTGTCAATCATGATTACTTGATTACTCCCTCCTGATACAATAGCTCATAATATTATAATCACAATATAAAGAACACGGAAAGCCCCTATAACTCCAGATCTGCGCCATGAGATTAATAAAGATCAAGAACATCTCTATACAGCAAGAAAAACAGAAGCACAGTGATTTGACAGCAGCTGTAATCGAAATATTGCACATCACATGAATAAAACGTACAGTATCTGCACATCATATAGCCAGACCCTTACAGTACACGTGTCCATACAAGCCTCTAGTAAACCGTTCTCTCCTGTTAGTCAGCAATACTGCCCGTCCACCAGAGGGCGCTGTGTGTGAAGCCTCAACTGGGCCATCAATGTCGGAACAAATACTGAGACCATTTCACAAGATGTAAACAACACTGGTCCAGAAGCACTTCCTGTTTCAGTTTGTAACTGTTTTCTTTATTTCACATGTAAAGAAAACATCTTAAAGATGTTTGTTTAACTTTTTGATTCAGTTTTAAATGTTCTGTTGGTTGTATTTTATCCCAGCTTTTATGTAGTGTTAAAAAACTGAAACAGAAAGTGCCTCTGGACCAGTGTTGTTTACATCTTGTGAAATGGTCTATACTCGCACATAAAAACTCACTCAAAAAAATCATAAACGTAACAATAAAGAAAGCTTTTACATTTACATTTGGGGGGAAAACACAACCTTACTGACAATAAATGAGTCCTGTTATTCTGCACTGGCAGAAATACTAATAATTAATTTGACATTTTGATTAAAGCTAAATCTGATCAGTATTTTGAGAAGGTTAAGGCCCAGTATTGTCTTTCAGACACGTGTTTATCACAGAGATGAGAAGAAAAGCTGTCCAAATAACAGCATGATGCTTTAAAACAGTGTTCTGAAATATGATATCCATAACACACGTCAGCGTGAGGTTTACTGTAGTAATACTCGATGACTTGGGATGTGCCTAAAAATCCCTCCCAAAAAAATACATAAACATAAAAAAAATCAATGACTGAGCGCAGACACTTTGAGCATGTACAAATGAGCATGTGCAGTCAGCTGAAATTGAATTATGTGAGCAAATTATTTCTAATGTATTTAAATTCCTGCTTCCTGCTGCTTCTTCAGGACAAGTCATGATGATGAGGATTTATTCTGCTGGTAAGATGGATTCAGACAAATCTCTATATTAAATCAGAGCCATATCTAATAAAGGACACAGCATTAACCACCTGACATCCATAAGCGCTTCAATATCTTCACAAAGAACTCTCTCAAGAACACGTCCAACAGTTCAGAAACATTTCTCAGGTCAAAGTAAATCTTTCATGAACTTATATCAAATTAGGAAACATAAATTATTTTATTAAATTATATTATATTTAGCAAATCTGTTATCAATATGTATATATTGTGTATGTAATGTTCTGTTTTGGTTTTGCTTTTCATTGTGTTCCTGTTTGCCAGTGTTCCTAATCATTAACTCAGCATTATCAGCAGTTCAACGAGTCTGTGTTTCCCGAAACCATCGTTCTAATGAACATTCGCAAACAGCATCACACAGGTGTGTGTTTGGAACGACATTTCTCGACCCGTGGATGGAAAAATCATGTGGACTTAATAAATCCTTATCTTGAGCAAAATTAGCGAGCTGACATTAAGTGCAACCGGTGTCTTTCACTTAGAATACATACAAATGTCATTCACGTCTTTGAGTTTGTCAAGAGATGTAAAGCACCATTTTGGAAGAGTGTGCATGTGCGAACGAGCTCTAGTGTGTAAGAACAAGCCTATCTGTAAATAAAGCAAAATAACAATATAATATTTATAATAATATTTCTGTGGGCAGGTCTCCTAAACAATGGTCCTACATCATACAGTGAGAGAGGTTCAAAGACTAAAGTTGTCATGGTCTTGCGACCAAAGATAGCCTGCGATAATTGTGTGACAGCGTCAGAAATCAAGCATGATAATCTCACAGTGTTTCCTGCTCTGACCTATGTCCACTTACTAGCCAATAAATATGCAACTGTTTTTAAAGCACTTTTCCCCAAATGTATTTAACTGTCTGGGGTCTAATGTGTTTTTGGGGTCCTTGAGATGTTCTGACATGCACTGTCATTTGTACTTTTTTCAGTTGCTTATAAACATATTAAAGGGGTCATGAACTGGCTTTTTAAATTCTATTATATTGTTGTCTGCAGTGAACTTATGATGATCGCTTGGTTTTTACATTCAAAAACATCAAAATGAATGAGTAATAGGCTTTTTTCTACCCTAGTTTTGAAAAACACTGGGTTTTTATGGGTGCCTCGCGCTGAAGACTTGGAAGTAAACGCCCACTGCTGTGAGTGGATAACAGTTTTGCATATTATAATGAGTTTCAACTCACCTGTCGATGCACTTGGGGGAAATTGTTTTGAAAATGTCCAATGTTGTAAAATGGCAACCGGAATGATTCGCCCATACATGTTCGACCCAGAGTCCGTGTGTTGCACCATTCCGGTCAGATCCAATATACTGTAGATGGCACAGCACCGTTCTTTACTCTTAATCGGTCTGCAAATCCAGTCTTGTTTACAGGACAATCCTCAGTGAAACGAAGTGAACAGACGGACGATATTTTACCTCATCAGCTGGAACGTCATTAAAAATAAAGTTTATCCATGCAGTCCTATTGGAATCCAGAGGAAGCTTATGCAGCGACTGTCTTCTTCCACAATCAGGCGCTGCACAATATTCTGTATTGCTCGGTAGCTCGATCCGGTTTGTCATCGCGAGGGAGGCATCTATGTCATTTAGCTATGCGTGTAATGCGCGAATCGGTGGGCGGGGCTAAACCGGCCGTGTTGAAGTAGGAGTTGATCTTCTTCTGCGGGGGTGGGGTTTTATCCTCTTTGACGTCATAGTGCCCAACTTTGAAAAACGAGTCGTTTGCTGAGGCTGGTGTCAATAAAAGCTTTTATTGGACTAACAAGGACGTTTTCAGTTCTGAAACTTACAGGATATTCTTATAACATGATGACCTCTTAGATTTCAAAAGCTCAAGGAAAATTTGATTTCTCAGTTCATCAGGGTAATTCCACCGGTGAATATGTATAGAAAGTGGGTCATATATGTATTAGAATAATATCATAAATTTCTAATTTGGGCCCTTCTTGACCGATAAAAGGCAGAAAATAACTTTTTAGTGCTTGTGGATTGTAGACAACAATCCCCATAGTGCATTGCAACGCTCATCAGGCCACTCCCACTACTCCGCCCATCAATGTAGACTAGAGTTGAGCTCCACTCTACGCTACCACCTGGAAATCATTTCGCACAATGAAATCCTATAATATGACGACGTAAGAGCGTCAAGGCGGCAGGACAAATGGGCTTCAGACAATCGGCACACTTACTCTGACGCATAATTTTACACGTGAAATACAGCCAAACCTTGGAGCGTTTTGTCTTCGGCATCTTCATTAAT